CTTTATTGTTTTGTTTCGAACAAACAAACGGGGGCAAAAGTTAGTTTATGGTGGACGACATAGGGCAACCGATGCATGTCTGATATATTTACATGCTGATGGAAAGAACAGACAAAAACTGCGAGCCATAAAATACTTCTATCTGTGGACCATTTAAATATGTAGACGAAATAACTAGGGGAGAGGTTCAGGTCTTTGGGTTTATTGAACCCCCTAGGCAGGTTGAGCAACGTTTCAGAACTGAGATTGAACTTCCTGTGGCCTCGGTTGCCGCAAACCCTGGGGTGGGTGTGGCTGGCTGATGATGGATAATAAGCAAGAAAGATCCATTCAAATCTGTCGTATCTTTATCGATAAGGTCAGTCAGTATGCCCGTATCATAAGCCGCTGTGCGGTTGCCGATGATGCCCGAAAAAGATCCCAAACGGGCCGAACGAGTACTGTAACAGATCGATTTTGTTGGAGACTGGTCAGGCACCAACCCCGTACTGAGATGTTCAGAGCATTGGCATTCCAGCCAACGAATCCCGGGGTTGATCCTCGCGTGCTGCAAGATCTGGGTTCGAGAACTGCAGGCTAATAAATCGGAAAAAGCAATTTTCGTCTCAATTGTTTTTTGTTACTTTCGTTGAACTCTCTATGGTGTTTTTTAACTGCCGTTTACCTCAACTATGAATACCAATGTGACGAGTAATACTACTAGTAGTATTAATGCCGTTTCCACTACGCTCGCTACTACTATTGATGACAATTTGCCAGTGGCGAAGGACAAATACGATTACCACAATTATTAGTATTATTGCTACTATGATTATTCATACTTCCACTATTTTTATTCCAATGACGAACATTGCTACACCTATGAATACAATTTAAGTAAACAATACTGTTTCCACAGCTGTTAATAATACTGCTATAACGACTGATTAAAAAAGAGCGTAAGCTCTCAGTACCAAAACTTCAGCCTGGTAAACTGCCAAGATTAACTCAATGACTATTGAACTATGCAGGGCAAGGTTTAAAAGGACCCCGTATTACGGGTGACTTAATGCTAATCTCCAGAAGAATTTAGGATTAAGGTAATTATTAATAGGGTTTATTGTGGGATAGAGAGTAACGATGCAGTAATAAACGATCCCGCCATTTACCCATCTGCAGTACGGGGCGTGCGCACGTACAGCCCTATTCCACTTGGTATGTGTCGCACATGTTTCCTTGTGCCTAACATCATCGGAAAACTATGAAATAGAAAATACCACGAATTCCATAAACCATGAGATTCGGTTTGTTAATTTCTCCATCCGAAACATTTGTTTTGAAGAAAGGTGGAATCAGAACTGACAACCAGTGTCACATATTTAAAAAGAACTGAGCCTTTCCATTTCCTGATGATGTGATTAGCGTTTTATAATTTTTAAATCGGAGCATAATCATGCGAATAGGTGACAACACAGAAAAGTTTATTTAGTTGT